GGCTGGGGGTCCTGTGGGGGGGGGCGGGCAGGGCTCAGGGTCCAGCAGGAGGGACCTCCTGGGCACGTGTCCCTCACCCACCTTCATGGCCTCCTGTCCCAGGGCCCTCTGGCCCATCCAGGTCCAGCCAGTCCAGCATCTTTGAACACACATCTGCTGAGCACCTGCTGTGTACTGTGTCTCCACACTCAGCTGCTGTGTTCTAGAGAACTGGACTGTGGCCTGTCCCTGTGCACGCCACCAAGGGCTGTCCCTGTCCGTGTCTCTTCCCAGTCCCCATACTGGCAGCTGTTGGCTAGCAAGGAGATGAGTCTCTTGGGCCCCTCACCCAGGGATGCCTGCCAGAGGGTTAGAGGGTGACCAGAGTCTCAGGCTAGACCTGACCTGGCCCTTGGGGGTCAGTACCCAGCCTCGGACAGGAGGGAAGCGGGTGGGTGAGTGCAGGGTCTTGTTGACAGCAGGGTAGTTTATTTGCGATCCTCTTGATTTGCTCTGTCCTTGTACGGTCTACAGTGTTGTGAACCGGGTAGAAGGGCAGCAGCTCCAGGCTAGACTGGAAGGTTCTGAGGGAAGGTCCCCTTTGGGCTGTCTGGGGCAAGGACCAGAGAAGCAGCCCTGGCACATCTGGGGGACAACTCTCATGGGAGCAGGCTGGGCTGTGGGTGGGGCTGGCCTGGTGCCCTGTGGGTGGCACCCACCTCCCACTGTGTGGCACAAGGGCCTCTGGGGGACACCAGCTGAAATAGGCTCTGAGCCCCGTAGCCTCCCCAGAGAACCGCCCGGCTGGTGGGGATGGTTTGGGAGGGGCCCCCCCCAGTCCCTGAGCTCCTGTGTTGGCTCTGACCCCGGGGACGCAGAGTGGGGTGGAGTGTCCTCAGCTCCTGCCTTGGGGTCGCTGGCCTGACTCACTGGGCCATCCACCCCTGGGCATGGGGGCACACTGGGGGCCTGCTTCACTGTGTGTGGGGGGGGGAGTGTGGGGCTGCCCCTCATTATGGGATGCAGATGACTTCCTAAACTCGCCTTAGGACCCTACTTCCCCTGAGGAATGAGACAAACGGCAGGATTCCAGACCTGCCTGCATGGGAGAGGAGGGCGCTGTCCCCTGCCACCCGCCCAGCACACTCCTGGGCACTGATTCCACAGGAGGGACAGCTGTGGCTGGGGTGGACCTGTCTACAGAAGGCACTTCTTGAAAAACACAGTCTTTATTGACACAGCTTTATGGGAACTATTTCTGCTGAAGCACTTTTGCTTGTTTATATTTCATCTGATGACTATTTTAAATGGAAGCCAAAGGGGGGGGGGAACCCAAAACACTCAGAGAATGTTCCTGGCTGCCTGGCTGAGGTGGTGTTTTGATGTATCTGGGAGTGGAAAATTGTTTAGAATCTTGGAACCTTGAGAAGATTCAGGGAGTGGAGAAGAATGTTGCTCTTCAGTTGGTGAGATCACTCTTTAGGATCTGAGAAATGACAGTTGATACTCAGGAAGAACATATCTCATGATGCTGGTACAGTTGTCTCCATGCTCCCATCCTCCCCAGTAACAACTGGAAAGAAGAGATGGACAGTTGAATGTATGGATGGTTGGATGGATAGGTGGATGGATGGATGAATGGATTGATGGAGGATGGTTTGATAGATGGATTCATGGGTGGATGATAGGTGGATGGAAGATGAGTGGATGATGAATGGATTGGATGGATGGTTAGGTGGATGATGGATAGACAGATGGAAGATGGTGAATGGATAGTTGGATAGGTGGATGATGGATCGATGACGAATGGGTGGTGGGATGGATGGATGGATGAATGGATGGATAGAGGGAGGATGGGTAGATGGTTGGATGGAAGCATAGGTGGATGCTGGATGGATAGATGGATGAATGGATGGAGGATAGGTACCTGGATGTATAGATGGATGGATAGGTAAATAGATGGCTGGCTGGATGGAGAATGGGTAGATGGATGGATAGGTAAATAGATGGCTGGCTGGATGGAGAATGGGTAGATGGATGGATAGGTAAGTGGATGGCTGGATGGATGGAGAATGGGTAGATGGATGGATAGGTAAATAGATGGCTGGATGGATAGGTGGATGAATGGATGGAGGATAGGTACCTGGATGTATAGATGGATGGATAGGTAAATAGATGGCTGGATGGATGGAGAATGGGTAGATGGATGGATAGGTAAATAGATGGCTGGATGGATAGGGGATGAATGGATGGAGGATAGGTACCTGGATGTATAGATGGATGGATAGGTAAGTAGATGGCTGGATGGGTAGGTGGATGATGGATAGGTGGAGGGACGAATGGGTCAATGAACAGGTGGACAAGTGGATGATGGATACGTGGATGGAATGATGAAAGGGTAGGTGGGGAGAGGGATAGAGAGGCAGATCGATGACAGATACATGGATAAATGGATGGACGGACAGATGGACGGACAGATGGATCAATAGATGACGGACAAATGGATGGATGATAGGTGGGTAGATTTATAGATAGAAATAGAGATAAATGGATAAATGGATGGGCAGGTGGCTGGAGACATACATACATATATGCATACATATGCACCTGTAAATCTTCCTTTTCCTCAGGTAAGTAGCCAAGAGAATGTGGTTTCAGTTTCCCACCATTTTGGGCACCACATATAAAATTATGCCCCTCCTTCATAGGAATGCCTGGTCTTCAATGGATTCCGAGTCTCCAAAGTCACGTCCTGAAAGTTCTCACTCTGTCCTTGGGAGGAGGAGGGATTATAGCCCTATTCTGAAGGAGAGAAACAGGCACAGAGATGAAAAATGGCCAAACCACAGAGTCGGTGGTGGCCAAGCTGAGCCCTGAGCCCCACTGCCACCCCACCTGCTGCTTCTAGTTTCCTGCTCCGTGCACAGGCTGTCACTGATAGGGTGCTGGGTGGTTAAGACACACATTTTTCCTGCAGAAAGAGAACTAGATCCTCAAACCTCCTTGGCCACTGGCCTTCGGAGAGGAAATTGAGATGCTGCAGGTGGGGGCCTTGGCTCGTTTGCAGCTCTGAACAGGAGCCACAGGCTCCTAAGCCCCTCTGGGTTAGCAGCCACAGCTGAGGCAGGCCTGCCTCCCTTCTGCCCCCACTCCGACGGCCAGCTCGTCTCTTGGGCAGATGGGACGCAGGGACTTTGTGAAGAGCAGACATGTCACGAAGGTGTGGTTTTCACTGAATTCTTGTTAGCGGGTCAGATTAAGAGCCATGGGGGGAGGTTGACTTCTGAGAATCCTGCTTGATGCTGTTGGGCACTTGGGAGTCCCGGGTTTTGTCTACACCCCAGAATGGTCTTTAGAAGAAATGCCGCGGTGGGAACACGTGGGATGGGCTGGGAGCGCCCAGGCGGGCACGTCTTCTTCTGATGAGTATTTCCTCTCTCCCCTCTTGCCTCTCTGCCATCCTGCCCTCCCTGCCCACCGTCCCTCACACCTTCTTCTTCCATCCCCTTGGCTCCTCTCCCTGAAACCCACTCTCCCACCATCTTGCCCACAGGAGGACGCGCTCAATGGTGGACCACCCGGGAAGGGCTTGACGGAAGAAGTGAGTGTGCGGGACTGGGGGGCAGGGAGCATAGGAGAGTCATGGGGGAATCACGAGGGAGTCACGGGGGAGCGTGGGGGAGTCACGGGGGAGCATGGGGGAGTCATGGGGGGGTGAGGGAAGATGGGGGAGTCAAAGAAGAGTCATGGGAGAACATAGGGGAGTCATGGGGGAACATGGAGTCATGAGGGAGCATGGGGAAGTCATGGGAGAGAATGGGGGTGTCGTGGGAGAGTCATGGGAAAGCATGGGGGAGTCCTGGGGATCATGGGGAAACATGGGGGAGTCATGGGGGAGTCCTAGGGGAGCGTGGGGAAGATGAGGGCGTCCTGGGGTATCATGGGGGCGTCCTGGGGTAACATGGGGGAGTCTTGGAGGAGTCATGGGGGAGTCATAGAAGAGCTATGGGAGAGTCATGGGGAGCATGAGGGAGTCATGGGGGAGCATGGGGAAGCCATGGGACAACCGTGGGAGAGTTGGGGGGAGTCGTGGGAGAGTGTGGGAGAGCCATTCTGCATTCTCCTTTAATTAAAGGCACGATGTCAGTTACCTGAGTACCTTGTGCCCATGTGCTCATGGCACACAAGAGCTCAAAGAAGACAGTGAGGCCTCCCCGTGCACCCATCCCCTCCACTGCCATCCACTCCTCCCGGCAGCTTGGCAGGGACCTCCCTCACCTTGGTGTCTGTTTACTGACATGCATGTGATTCACAGAAATAGGATGTTTCCCAACCACATGCCGTGACTGGCAGGTACGTTGGAGGCCCCAGCACGCCTCCAGGCTCATGCGTCTGCTGGGTTCTGTTCGCATGTCTGTCCCCCGCATGACTTGTTTACCAGTCACTTTGTGGTGGGTGTTCTGATCCCTTCTGGAGGTGCCCCCGGAAGTTCGACACTTCAGTGCGCGTTCTGACTGCGCCTCCTTCCGCACCAAGGAAAGGGCATCTCCGTTCCAGCCCCTCTCCAAGACGGTAGGGCTCGCCTTCCACACCACTGCCTATACCACCACCAGCGTGTGGCCAACTTGTCACTTCCATCTGCACGTCTGTTTCCAGAGAGATTGGGTACTTTGTACCCTGATTGCCAGTCATTTGTTTCAATAAGTTGAAATTTTATGTTACTAATGCAACAATTGGGAAAAACGGCAACAATCAAGAAACAGGAAAAAACCCACCCTCATTTTATGGCAGTTGAGAGGAGCTTGTGTATTACTCTTTTTTGCCCCTCTCGTGAAGGCGTATGTCTAGGACGCCCGGGCCCTCTGCTGGCTGGTTTCCTTGGCACCACCTGGGCGCCATGTGGAGGGGGTCTCCAGATCAAGGTGTGGCTGTTCAGACCTGCACTTTCTCTGTGGGGCACTGTTGACTGAGTGGTGAGGGCAGTGTCGTGAGAGCTGATGTTTCTCCACGCGTACTCTGTGTGGGCTCTGGAGCAGAGTCATGGAGGGAATGGCTGCAGTCTCGGTCCCCTTGGAGCGTTGTACTCATCAGGAGATGACCACACACGAAGGACCCGGGCGTTAAAGGGGACGCACACTTGAGGAGCAGGGTGAGCGTGTATGGCCGTCCTGGAGGTGAGAGAGAGGCCACCTGGGAAGGAAAGTCCAGAGTGGGCAGGAGCAGTGAGGTAGGGAATGAGCCGGGGGCAGGGCCGCCAAGGCCTGGGCTGGAACTGTTGGGTGGGGGAGGGGCGGAGGCAGGGGCAGGCATGGAGGAGGGCTGAGCGGGTCCCTTCGGGTGTTGTGTGTGCAGAAGAGGCAGTGGCCAGGGGCCGGGAGGGGAGAGCAGGCCTGAGGGGCAAGAAAACAGGAGGCCATCCCCTGGGTCCAGCCGAGAAAAGGACGCTGGACCTGCTGAGGCAGCCACGCATCACCTCCATAAGGACCATGCCGCCTGCATCCCCATCACCTGTCTCCCAGGAGACGGCATCTCATCACCTCCTCAGGGACCATGCCGCCTGTGTCCCCATCACCTCTCTCCCAGGAGACGGCATCTCCTCACCTCCTCAGGGACCACACCGCCTGTGTCCCCATCACCTCTTCCCTCACCAAGGAGACAGGGACGCATCGCTTCCACGGGACCACACTGCCCACACACCTAGACCCTGTCCATCTTGGTAGGCCTGAAAGCACTCACAACATGACTGACCCGAGAATCTCAGTCTGGGCGAGGAGAAGGACGGACTTTCCAGCTGTGAGATAAGGAGGAGCACAGAAGAGCAGCTGTGGGGAGCAGAGGCCAAGGGCTCAGGGAACATGGACGGGCTGAGATGCCACCAGGTCTTTTGGCCCTGATGGGGTGGGCAGAGGGAGCAGATCGAGCTGGAGTCGTGTGTGTGAAGGGTTGGCCCGGGGTAGTGTTTGAGCCCAGGGGGAGGGGACATTTAGAGGAGAGGGTTGGGGGTCGAGCCCTAAGTAGGAGGATGGGAGATGAGGAACCGGCACGGGAACCTGTCTGAGTGTTTATCACGTTAGCTCACACTTCATAATTCTGGGAAGAAGATGGCGTTATCATCATCATTTTACAAGGAAGACAACTGGAGCCAGAGAGGTCGAGTGGTTGAATGATCTTCCCAAGGTCACCCAGCAAGCACGTGGCAAAACTGGGGTCTGAGCCAGGCGAGTCTGGGTCTCCAGGTACCACACACTTGGCCTCTTTGCCACTGGTGGAGCTGTCACCGGTACAGGTAGGGGAGGTTGTCTTAGGGCTGCAGTGACGTGCCTGAGGTCAGGGAAGTGGCCTAGCCGGGACCTGGCCTCGGGACGCTCTCCTTTGAGAACACAGGCTCCTCTTCACTGTTTAGCCACCTCGACCAGGAAAGGTGTTTGTTTTTTAAAGATCGGCACAAAGCCTGTGTCTCCTCCAAGCAGCCTGGAGCACCATCCTGGCCCCTATCCATTGTCTATAGTCGCCTCTGGGGTCGTCGAGACTGAGTGGCCATGGAGAGCACGTAGCCATGGAGAATGAGTGACCACGGAGAGTGGGTGGCCATGGAGAGCAAGCGGCCATCAAGAGTGCGTGGTCATGGAGAGTGAGGGGCCACGGAAAGTGAGTGGGCATGGAGAGTGAGCAGCCATGGAGAGCAAGTAGCCATGGAGTGTGAGCAACCATGGAGAATGAGTAGCCATGGAGAGTGAGTGGCCACAGAAGGTGAGTGGCCATGGAGAGTGAGTGGCCATGGAAAGCAATTAGCCACCAAGAGCGTGCAACCATGGAGAGTAAGTGGCTGTGGACAACAAGTGGCCTTGGAGAGTGAGTGGCCGTGGAGAGTGAGTGACCAGAGAGCGAGTGGCCATGGAGAGCAAGTGGCACGGACAGTGAGCGGTCGTGGAGAGTGAGCAGCCATGGAGAGCGAGTGGCCATTGAGAGCGAGTAGCCATGGAGAATGAGGGGGGGCATAGAGATTGAGGGACCACAGAGAGCCAGTGGCCATGGAGAGTGAGTAGCCATTGAGGACAAGCAGTCACAGGGAGTGGGTGACCATGGAGAATGAGTGGCCACGGAGAGCAAGTGGCCATTGAGAAAGAGCAGCTGTGGAGGGTGAGTGGCCATGAAGAGTGAGCTGCCAGCTGGTCCTAGGTCTCTCCTCAGTCTGTCTTCCTCCCCGGCCAGCGGCTTCTAAACCCAGGAGGAAGGAGGCCATCAGACATCCTCCTGCCTTTGGGATGCTGGATCTTCAGGCTGGTAGGGCCCCAATGGGCCTCTGTGAGGCTGCGAGGAACCCCCGTGCCCTCGCCCCCAGGTCCCCCAGGAAGATGAGGATGGCGGTAGGAGCCCAGCTACTCTAAGGCACTCACCTGCGGCCACACAGGCGCCGTGTCCCACCCACCCTTCACTCTGATGCTTTGGGGGAGTCCCGGCACATGGACTCTCCACATGCCAGGTGGTCCTAATACTCACTGGTTAAGAATCCCTGGGGAAGATGGCCTTTGTCTTGTTCTTTTTGTGCAAATGGAATCTCTCTATGTTGCTCAGGCTAGTTTCCAACTCCTGGACTCAGGAGATCTTCTGCCTCCACCTCTTGAGTAGCTGGGACTATGGGTGCGTGCCACCACACCTTGCTAATTTTATTTATTTTTGGACCTTTGTGTAGAGACAAGGTCTCACTGTGTTGCCCAGGCTGGTCTCAAACTCCTGGCCTCAAGTGATCCTCCCATTTCAACCTCCCCAAATGCTGGGATTATAGGCGTAAGCCACTGCACCTGGTCGACCTTTTAAATAACTTTTCATTTTGAAATAATTTTCAAATGTACCTACCTAGAAATCACAGTAATAGTACTAAGAATTCCTGCACATTCACCAATTAACGTTTGGCTACATTTGCCCCCAGACTTTCTCTCTCACTCTAAATATATACGGGGTCTGACAATTAAGGTCGTGAATGTGCTACTGTGTGTTTACATTGGCAGCACCGTACAAACAACTTGGGAAGGTTTCACAACCCTGGCAGGTCAGTGTCTCACGGTTGTGTTCGTGTCAACATGTGGCAGTGTCTTGCCAAGTGGCATTCATTATTGCTGCATGTTTGCGTCATCATGAGGATATCAGAGCTTGAATTAGCGCAGTGGACTAACGTTAACTTTCTTGTTAAACCTGGTAAGAGTGGAAGTGAAATCCAGAACATGTTAGTCCAAGTTTATGTGGATAATGCCTGAAGAACACGGCAGTGTCCAAATGGATTAAACGTTTTTCTGAGGGGAGAGAAAGCATCCCTGATGAAGAGAGGTCAGGATGGCCAATAACGAGCAGCAATGACAGAAGCATTGCAAAAACTTGTTAAATTGTGTGTCAAAATCATCAGCTAACCATGAGAAATGCAGCAGGCCAAATGAACATTGATGGTGAAGCAGAAAAATCTTAACTGAAAATCTTGGCATGAGAGAGGTGTGTGCAGAAATGATTCCAAAGGAGCTCTTGCATCACGACAATGCACCAGCTCACACATCACTGTCTGTGAGGGAGTTTTCATCCAGTAAACAAATAACTGTATTGGAACACCCT